ATAGATGATGGGGTGATGGATGCAGCAAACAACCACCAAGGCACATGTATACGTATGTAACAAACCTGCACAATTTGCACATGTACCTTAGAACTTAAAGTATAGTAAATTAAAAAAAGAAAAAAGAAAAAAGAAACTTCAGAGGAGGCACAGCCATGTCAGCATCTTAATTTCTTAATTCCAGGCTTCTGCCCTCCAAAACTGTGAGAGAGTAAACTTCTGTTAAGTAATCCAGTATGTGATAGTTTATTACATAGTCCTAGGAAACTCCTACAAAGTGTATACTCATTTTCGAGTTTTTGGGCTCTCCCTGCCAAGGTCCTTGAGTTAAGGGGAAGGTTTATTTTTGCCCAACATGGTGTCTCCAGTGCCTTTCACAAAATAGGTGCTTCATAAATAAATCATCATCTAATTAATGAAGATATGAATGGAAAATCAGTGAGTACTTTGCCTGACCTCTCATTAGTTGATTTTTCATTTCAACATGCGAAGGAAAACATATTTGAGAAGAAGTACACAGCACACATCTAGGTTTGAAGTTAGTCAGAAAGCTATGTATGTGGAGACCACAGCCTCTCATGTTCTCTTTCTGCCACAGAAACAGCAATGGTCTTCATTTATTTCCATTCAGGGCCAGGTGTGATACTTGACAAAAACCTAAGTCCAGTCCTGGACATCTAAGGTAATGTGGACTATTATGAGAGCCTCTGAAGCTAGCCCCACTGCAGTCAGGCTTTGAGGTTGACTCTGCAGAAACTGGCCCTAACACAAGCAGCAATAGGACACCTGTGGGTACATACTGAGTAAGCCACAGAATTGAAGGAAGAGCTGAGCAGTGAGCCTTGTAGAAGGGCAGGAACTGAGGCACCAGCGGGTGACTGGGAGTTTGAAAACAGACTCTCCTGCCCTCCCTTTCGGGCTCTGTCTTTGGATAACACAGCTGCAACTACCCTTTGTGTCTCAGAGCTAACTATTATATTTACCAGAAAGGAAATCTGATTGGCTAGATTGAGTCACATATTCATGCTGTAGTCAGAGCCTTGTGATTGGCAGTTAAACTAGATCTTGTGAAGTAGGGAAGTTCCACAAATAAAGATGGTGTTCCCCAAAGACAGAGATAGGATGCTCAGCAGACAACCAGGCCAACTTCCTCTAAACGCTTCATGTCAGCTCATCCTCAAACCAGTGACCCAAGAAAATATTTATTCTGTTATTTCTGCTCTTCTTAAATCCTTTTCCTCTTCTGACATCAGGGCCTCTTTACTCCTTGGGCAATGGTCTCTACAGACATGTGGTATCAGTGGAGCTCCAGGAATGCACAGGAGATCCCAGCCAAACAAATCCAGACCAAGGAACTTCAGGTTCCTTGGACATATTAGAGGAGAAAACACTATTTTTCTTTTGGAGGTTTCTTAGAATATAGGATATAAATCTTGAAGATCTATACCACAAAAATTGCCACACAAAATGAAGTGCTTGACTGAGAGTAAAGCCCACACAAGATAAAATCTGAGTCCAGGACTGAGGAGAGCAAGACTGAGCTGTAATGATGCCATTTGTGTCCCAGATCTGATCCAAATACTGAGCTTTTTAGTGAGTGCTCCTCCCTCCCTCCTGTCCCTTCCCTCCCTCCCTCCTCTCCTCCCTCCCTCCCCCCTCTTCTTTCCTCCCCTCTCTTCCTTCTTTCCTTTCTCCTTTTTTTTTTTCTTGTCTTTTGGTTTGGGCAAGTTTGGATTGTAGTTTCTGTCACTTGCAACCAAAAGAATCCCAGCTATATAAGTTGGAGAGAGGGAGAGGAAATTTCACCCCAAAATAGTGAGGAAAGAAGCATCCTTGATTGGTCTCTGTGAATTCAAGCTTGGACACAGTGCATAAAGTGAGCCCTGTCTTCTCCTTTCCACCCAGAGGGCACATGCTGTATCTGGTATTATTGTTTTCATCCCCACCTCTCCCCCGCCTCAAACTTTGATTGATTGTGTCCAATCTTTGTTGTTCTCTGACATGGCCCTTTGTATCATCTTCTTACTCTTTTTTGTGTGTGCCTGCTTTGACAGATACTCTTACTCCTTCAAAAGCCACAAATATTTTTCACTGTTGCACTGAAAAGTGGGAATCCTGCAGAGAGAGGTGGTGTCTGTCAGCACAGCATCCTAGTGAGGTTCACTTGCCAAGTTGGCAAGACCCTTCTAATTATTTCCCTCTGGGTGTGAAGTTTTGTGAAGCTCTATTTCACTTATGCTATAAAGAACTGAATGCATAATGGCACAAGTACGTACTTGTCCTGTGTGCAGATGGCACCGGCCTGAAACATTCTGGGTCACAAGATGGGCTTTTGTGAGGACCCAGTGTCATCTGTCATTTTTGCTAAAGCTCCCAGTCTCTGCTTTAAGTGTGATTTGTCAAGCTAAGGCCATGGTCTGAGAAATGGCTGAACTAAGAAAGAAAAGTTAAGAAAGGGCTTTCTTGTTTATCCTGGAGCTGAGCTATTGGCATAGATGTAAGATCTTGGTGCCCACCTCTGACACAGCAGCTGGTGAATGTTAGAGCAATTGCTGAGAGGAGTGGAGCTATTTAAGGATAATGTAGAATGTCACCTTTATGGACGTCAATATATTAGCTCAACAGACAGGTGGCTTCCAAATCTAAATCAACTCCTGTGCATGTGGGATGCTGTTCTTCATACTTTCATGGAAGTGGCTATCACTGCAATGCTGTGTCCATGGTTTATATTATGATCATGTCCATTGTCTGAATTGATAGAACCATTTCTGTAACAGCAGCTGTTTTTCAGTTTAAAAGAAAGCCCCACATTTTTATTAGTATATTGCTAAACCTCTCATGAAGAAATACTGTAACTATAAACAGAGGTCTCCTTGACATTCGTTTATTTATAATTGATGAACTTCTCCTGGCAAGAGACATTCTGATAGAGCACCCAGGGAGAAGTGTGCAAGGTGCTAGGAGAAAACATTAGAATTCCCAGAGGATATTTCAGAGAAAACTTCGGGGGAGATGACAGAATAATTCTGGGAAAGGCAATGAAATTTAGCTAGGTGAAAAACTACAGCAAGAGCATTACTGATAAGAGGAACAACACAAATAAAGTGAGAGCATGAAGCAGCATTGTGTAGGCAAGAATGCAAAGCGGTGCAGGTATACTGGAAGTCATGTCGGGAAGGACGGATGCCAGAGTTTGTAGAAATAGTTAGGACCAGGTCCCAGAAAGACTTACAGATACTGCAGTGGTTTGAATCTGTCCTGCAGAGATTCAAAAGTTAATCCCCAATGCAACAGGATTGGAAGACAGGGCCTAATAGGAGGTGTTTAGATTATGAAGACTCCACACTCATAAATGGATTAATGCCATTATTAAAAGATCCCCTAGAAGAGGGTGCACTGTCTCTTGCACACTTGACTTGCTGCTGTTTGCCATGTGATTATGCAGCAGGAAGATCCTTACAGGATTCTGGTGCCCTGACCTGGGACTTCCCAGCCTCTGGAACTGTGAGAAAATTAATTTCTGTTCTTTATAAATAACCCAGTCTCAATATTCTGTTATAACATCACAAACAGACTAAGACAGGTACCAGACTAAAGAGCTGGAGCTTTCTTCTGTATGTAATGTAAATAAAAGATGGAATCATATCATTTGGGAAATGTGAGAAGGAAAGAAAAAGGAAAAAAGAAAAAAACAAAAGTAAAAACCAAGCACATTAGTTACCAGAATAAGTGTGAATGGATTAATCTTGAGTATCAAACAGCAACAAAAAAAATCTAGATCCAAATAGTAATATATTCTGGATATCAGCCCTTTGTCAGATGGGTAGCCTGCAAAAATTTTTTCCCATTCTGTTGGTTGCCGATTCACTCTCATGACTGTTTCTTTTGCTGTGCAGAAAGTGTGGAGTTTGATTAGGTCCCATTTGTCTATTTTGGCTTTTGTTGCCAATGCTTTTGGTGTTTTGGTCATGAAGTCCTTGCCTACGCCTATGTCCTGAATGGTTTTGCCTAGATTTTCTTCTAGGGTTTGTATGGTGTTAGGTGGGAGTGTAAATTAGTTCAACTATTATGGAAGACAGTGTGGTGATTCCTTAAGGACCTAGAAATAGAAATTCCATTTGACCCAGCAATCCCATTACTGGGTATATATCCAAAGGATTATAAATTGTTCTACTATAAGGACACATATACACCAATGTTCATTGCAGCACTGTTTACGATAGCAAAGACCTGGAACCAACTCAAATGCCCATCGATGATAGACTGGACAGGGAAAATGTGGTACATATACACCATGGAATATTATGCAGCCATCAAAAATGATGAGTTCGTGCCCTTTGTAGAGACATGGATGAACCTGGAAACCATCATTCTCAGCAAACTGACACAAGAGCAGAAAATCAAACACCGCATGTTCTCCTCATAGGTGGGTGTTGAACAATGAGAACACATGGACACAGGGAGGGGAGCACTACACACTGGGGTCTGTTGGGGGGAAATGGGGAAGGGACAGGGGGTGGGGAGGTGGGGAGAGATAGCATGGGGAGAAATGCCAGATATAGGTGAAGGGGAGGAAGGCAGCAAATCACACTGCCATGTGTGTACCTATGCAACAACCTTGCATGTTCTTCACATGTACCCAAAAACCTAAAATGCAATAAATAAAATAAAAAAAAAAAGTAATATATATGGAATTCAATTATAAAGTCAAATGAAAGGAAAATCTTGGAAATAAAAGAAAATCAAAGTAAATTAGGCAAGTAGAGATTGGAGAAGTCATTATTAATATCATACACAGAAGAATTAAAGGTAAGAAGGCATTGAAAGACAGACATCACACTATTCCCAGGCTGGGGCAAAACAAGTCTATGAAAATAAGTGAAAATGAGTAAAATTTAAAAATGGGTAAAAATAAAATAAAATAAATAAATGAATAAAATTTAATTCAACTTATCTGACATATAATAGATGTTCCATTGTGTAAACAGAATGCATCTTTCCAAATATTTCTGTAACATTTGTAAGAATCATTAAAAATAGCATTCTTAGGAAAACTCTTGGTAAGTTTTCAGTAGGAAACTACTTGATAAATTGTATCACGTGATAATGTTAGAAATTGCCGTTAAATTTTCAATTAATATATGCTATTTCTAGCAAAATAAAACAGAAAACATTATCCTAGCTAGAAAATGTAAAGTATCCTTCATTCTAAGAGAAGATCAGGAAAGAATAGGACCCATCCATCTCATGGGTTGTTTCCACAGCTTTGTGCTCACAGGTAAGGAATTTCACTGTCTTTGAATCTTTGCACTATATGAGGAGATCAAGCCCAGATTTCACCATCTGTTAGCTATGTGAACTTTGGAAGTTGTTTAACTTATTTAAATCCATTTTATCATCTATAAACTGGAGCTAAGAATAATATCTACTGAGTTCTTTTTAGGGTTAAATTAGATATTTCACTTAAAATAGTTAGCAATGTTTCTATAGAAAGAATAAAAATGAATTGCCTAATCCTTCAAACAGGTAATTATAATATAAACCCAGAGGAAAGTATAGGAAATAGCATAATGCAGAACAAAGCAAAAATTATGAATTAAACAGAAAAACAGTTTACCTAATAAACTGGAATTTTTATATTGGGCAAAGAGATTAATATTCAATTCTCACTAAAACCAGAGAAAACACAAAACACAATATTATATATTAGATGCTTTAAAATACTCATACACTTTGATTCAGAATTTCCACTTCCAGAAAATTTTCCTAAGCAAATAACTCTAGAATTACATCAAGATTCGCAAATATACACATTATTTATTTTAAGAAAATAATGGAAACCACATCCATTAGTGTGTAACTGATTGAATAAATTACATTAACTCATTGCATAAAATATGCTAGAGACAAACAAAATCTATGGAACATATTGCAGGGCATAGGAAATGACTCATGATATAATAAAGAGTAAAACTAAGCTAAAAGGCTATAATCTTATATACTAATGTGATTTTAAAAATCTATATGAATTCATAGACACAGGAAACAGGTGTGTGTGTGTGTGTGTGTGTGTGTGTGTGTGTGTGTGTGTCTGTTGGGAAGAGGCACCAATGATGTAGCCCAACATATTCACATACTCACAGTGAAGTGAAATATTCTTAGTAAGTTTGATTTTCTTTTGTCTTTTAAAGAAATTCCTAGTCTTGTGCAATGAGCATATATTGCCTTGGTATTTGGGGAAATTATTAGCATTAGAAGTTACCGCTTTTTGTTCAAACCATGAATTAACATGGAAATAATTGAAAATCTGTGTCTCTTACCCCTACCCCTCACTTTCTGGCTCTCACTCTCTCTTTTCCTCATCTCTTTTTCTTCTCTCCCTCCTTTCTCCCTGCTTTCTTCTCTCCTGCCTGTAAGACATTTTGCTGGACTGGGTGAAGTTCAAGGATTCTTGCACAAACAGAATTTGGCATGAAGAAATTTTTATGGGCAAAGATTGTTTTTCAAAACTCGACAAGGAGCTATTTGGAGGGGAGAGCTGAAATGTCTGTTATCCCCACCGGACACTCTTCTCACATTCATTTCTACCTTGACCAGGTTTTACATCTCACAGTAATGAGGGACCTCGAAGCTCTCCACACTCCCTGATTCACCCTAATAATAATTTTTCTTTCTTGACCTGGCAGAGTCAAATCATGTTTCTATGGATTTAAATGTAAATTACATGTGTAACTCATTATTTTTTAAAAAGCCATCTACATGTTTCAGCTTCTTTCTCACTTAGAAAATTTGAGTGGAAACTGAAGTCCATTCAGTAGTAAACTTCGTTAGTTTCCCACAACTGTCAGAAGAAAAGATCCAGCTTCTGAAAAGTTGCATAAATATCATACAATGGATTCGTTTCTCTATATGTACCCTGACTTTTAAAAATTGGTTTGAATCTTACACTTTTAAGGTTTGTTGTTGTTGTTGTTGTTTTGTTTTGTTTTTTAATCTGTTATCAATTTAGGATTACTCTGTGCCTAACAGCAAGGACATCTAGTAATGGAATAAACATAGAGAAAGGGTTGAGTTCTGTGGGTCATCTCAAGGAAAACACTTGATCTTCCTGTACAGCAGCATTCTCTTCTGTAAAAGGAGAAGTTTATTTGCGTAAATTCTCTCGGTTGTTCTGGAAGGATTAAATAGCCAATGTCTGGAAGCAACACGAGTGATTCTGAAAATAAGGCTCTGGGAATCCGTGATTTTCTTTCTCAGAAGGATTGATTGCTTCAGCATGGTAACTTGCTTGTGTGTATTATGTATACAAAGCTAGGAATGAGTTTCTTGTCTTGAGAAAGGAATTTGTTTTTACTTAGCAAACACATATGTAGTGCTTACTATGTGCTAAGCACCATTCTAACCTCTTTACAGATTTTAACTAATTTGATCCTTGCAATAATTCTATGAAATAGGTACTATTGTTGGATTCATTTTATAGGGTTTCATTTTATATTTATTTTTATAGGGAAACTGAGCCCCAGAATGGTTAAGCAATTTGCTCTAAATCTTACATTTACTAAGTGATAGAGTAAGGATGTAAACCCAAGCCACCTGTGTCTAGTTCCCATGTTTCTAACCATGATACTATGCCATGGCAAAGGAATTTTCAAGAATTCACTGAAAGTCACCCCCGTTTGGTACTGTACTTTAAATACAATCTTACTAATGTTGCCTACTTCCTGCTTACTATTCAGTTATTTATCTCACACATGAAAGTGAATCCTGAACTTAACCTTTCAAGGGTGATTCTCCCTCTTAAATGCCGTGGCCCATGAACTAACCTAACCCTTCACATCACATTTTCTTGAATGTATTTTATGTACAGGTTGAGAACTGTCAACGAGAAAGAGGAAAAGTGGGTCCGGCGGGGAGGAATCTCAGCCCAAATCCACATGCACTTAGGAAAACCTCTAAGGAGAGGGAAATTGTTTTTGAGGATTTAAAATCTATAAGCTCAGCAGATTCCCCACTGTGCTGATGGACAAGATTCACTTGACTTGCCCCGCCTCAATGTAACACCATCTTCTTGGCCCTTAGTGAAATTAGCTTGACTGCAGATGCCATTCAGCGTTTGATCAAATTTAATGTAATGCACCTGCAGTTCCAGATAAGATTAATTAATTTCCAAAATGTCGCTGTTTTTCCTAACATGAAACTTGGGCCAATCATGGCTTTCTTTTTCTTCAGACATTAATGCAAGCCTAAGTACCTGCTTTTCAATCCAATAAAAGAGAAATCCTGAAGTGCATGTCACCATCAAGCCATTTCATTTCTCTCTGAATACATACATAAAATTAAATGCCATCAACCTCAAAATCAGCTGCAGGATTCAGAATAAAGCAATCTCCTTGAAATAACTGCTCTCTGTAACAGCTATAATAAAACATGTGAACATCATCTCTGACTGCATTAAGTGACTTAGTATGATATTCTTAGAGACTTGGTGGCACTTTACAATCAGAATTGTTCTTTAATAAACTCTTTCCTAAAAGCTTAATACCCCTCACTCAATAATTTATTTCATAATCCATTTAAAGGGCAGGTAAGTGTTATTATCTTTATAAGCTGAAGGAAAATGTAGCAAGTCACCAAATTTGAAAAGTGGCTGTTCAGGTTAAGGCAAAAATAATAATAGTAATAATAATCATAATAATGACAATGTTAAAAATCAAACATAGAAGAGACAAGAAAACAGACGTTTAAAAACTGTAGGCAGTGAAAAAAGCTCCCTAGATTTATTTTTAAGTAATTAGGCAATTATAAAATACCTTTTACCAAATTCCTGCCTGTCTTCTATTTTATTATTATTATTTTTTGAGAACAGTTGGTTTGTACAGGCTACTTAGAAGGTCAAACCAAGGGGCTTGGGATAGATGGAAGGGTGGTGTGTATATACTTCTGCTGCAGTAATGTGCTCATCTAGACACCCTCTATACAAGTGAGATCTAAATGGCTTCTCATCTCCACAGTTGCCCTGCTCTACTTGCTTTTGGAAACTGACAGCATCTCCAGCAGCTCAGCAGTGCATGCAGGCTTGTGAACTCCAGCTCAAGGGCAGTGGTGGGCATCTGTTCTCACTGTCTGGGTATAAGCCCTATTTCCTTTTCACTTCTGCAGCTCATGTTTATGCAACATCTCTTTAAATAATTTCTTCCATTAATGCTCCTCTGTTTAAGGTACCTAAAATAACTCAATTTTCCTGGATGGATGGTAAGCTTAATTTCAGCAGACTCATAGAAAATAAATGATACTTCTTTGATCTTAATCATTAGGAACCATTCTTCTACTGGCAGGTACTTTCAGAAGGGGTTTCTAGAATGAGTTTTAGTAGGTTTTCTTTAAACTATTATAAGTAGTTGAAAAGCTGTTATCAGGCAATGATTAATCAATGTCATCTGTTCACTAAACATTTGCTGGTTGCGTTGTGTACATGTAATATTTATTCCCAGCTTTTAACATTTTTCTCTCATATTTCCTACTTAGTCTTAACTAGACCACAAAACAGGAATTTGATCTGAAGCAAAAATAAATGCTGGTTTTATTTAAAGCCTCTAGTTAACAAGGAATAAAGCAACTCTAGTCACTCTAACCAAAACAATAAGGCAATTAAAAATCTTGGCACTGTTGAAGGAGCTTGAAACAGCTAGAAAATTGCCAAGCATCTGTAAACTTTTAAAGTATGTTTTGAAGCATCACTGAAGAAAATAAACTTAAATTCTACAATGGACTTTGTAATCTGCTAACACCACTAAATAGAGGGTTGCTTTCAACTTCTGTAAGGCTCATAGAAATCTTAATGGATACTGCAATGCCTGGTCAGCTTGGAGAATAAGAGGCAGGTGCAGGGGACTAGAGACAAGTGTCTGAGAAGTACGAAGCCAGCCCACCTGGGCTTAAATCCTGGCTCTGACAGTCACTACCTAGAGTTGTAGAGTATGGCTTTCTCATGTCTGAGAGTGATGGCTATAATTATATTTATTGAGTCAAACTCATAGGGGTGTGATGAGGGTTGCATCTAAAGTACTTAGAATGGTACCTGGGAGATAGTACACATTCAATAAATGTTATTAACAATTATTATAGCAAGTAACCTGGAGTCTATTGAGTAATTTACCTCTGACCAATCACTCACTTCAAACTTGCTCCTCCCCCTTCCTTCTGTCCCTTCTGTCCTTCCTTCATTCTCTCCTTCCCCCCTCCTTCCCTTCCTTTCTCCTTCTCTCTTCTCCCTCTTTCCTTCTTGCCTTTGTTTCTTATTTTCTCCCTCCCTTCCTTCCTCTCCATCCTCTTTGTTTCCTTTCTTCACTCCCACTCTGTTCTCCTCTTCTGTTTGCAGGTTGTCCTGTCTTTCTGTTGGCCTTTACCTCTCTTCCTCCCTCTGTTCTTTCCTTTCTTTCTTATTTCCTCCTTCCCTCTCCTCCCTCTTTTCTTCTTTCCTTCCTTCTTCCTTCATTCCCACTCTGTCCTCCTCCTCTGTTTGCGTGTTATTGTTTCTGTTGGCCTTTACTGCTTTTGCTCTATCACTCCTCTGCCTCCATTCATCTGCCTTCAATCTCCCCACCTTGACTTTTCCGCACCATCTTCCACTCATCCCCATCAATCTCATTAGTGTTATTCAGTTTGTTATGATCCGTTTAAAATACTTATTTCATTACTCACTTGTTTTAGATAATCTAAAATTTTTATATCTCTGTATTGGAAAAAAAAAGTAAAAGTAGACAGGAGAAATGTTTTACTTTGTAAAAAACAAATCCCTTGATCTAACTTAAACCATTTTAGACATGCCATTGCCCAGGTTGGCAGTAACAAGTGGAGATTTCTTCCCTTTCAGTGTGATAAAACATCAAGTACTTCCTAGCAGGAAAGAGAGACCAAGGAGTTAGGACTTCTACAGGCTCTAATAGATTAGCACCTGCAGTTTGAACTTTGCTTGAATACACAGGAAATTGAGCTGGAGGTGGTGACTCATGCCTGTAATCCCAGGACGCTGGGAGGCTGAGGTGGGCGGCTCACTTCAGATCAGGAATTCAAGACCAGCCTGGCCAACATGGTGAAACCCATCTCTACTAAAAATGCCAAAAAAAAAAAAAAAAAAAAGTAGCTAGTTGTCATGGCATGCTACTTGGGAAGCTGAGGCATGAGAATCACTTGAACCTGGAGGCAGAGGTTGCAGTGAGCTGAGGTCATGCCACTGCACTCCATCCTGGGCAGCAGAACAAGATTCTGTCTCAAAACCGACCAAACCAAACAAAAAACCCCACAAAAGACAGCCAATTGATCAGTGCACAAGACTCTGGGGCCGGATGCCCCAGGTAGCTCGCAGCACTAAGCAGAGGCCTGGATGAGTAGAGGTCTGACTTGGAGGGTGGCCATGGCCAGGCAGTTGCAGAGAGATTTCCTGTTCGGGGGAGGGGGAATACTAGAGGCACTTCCAGGGCTTTTCCTCCTCTGGATTTTATGATGCTGGGAATCTCGTGTTTGTTAGGTAAGCATATTTGTAGTGACACATCTGTCTTACCTGCCTGTATTTCAGAGCATTTAAGGAGACTTTACACATGAGACAGGATAGAATGACCAAAAAAAACTCAAGTGCATTCCAAGTGCCCATGCCTTCATGCATGCTTCTGAAGGCCAATGTCCTTGTGCGTTGGTTAG